AGTAAACCCGGCTCCTGAGTGTCTTATTCCCCCTGTAATATCTTATTACAGAAACCCGGCTCCCGAGTGTCTTATTACCCTGTAATATCTTATTACTGTAACCCGGCTCCCGAGTGTCTTATTACCCCGTAATATCTTATTACAGTAACCCGGCTCCCGAGTGTCTTATTACCCTGTAATATCTTATTACAGTAACCCGGTTCCCGAGTGTCTTATTACCCCTGTAATATCTTATTACAGTAACCCGGCTCCCGAGTGTCTTATTACCCCTGTAATATCTTATTACAGTGTCTTATTCCCCCTGTAATATCTTATTACAGTGTCTTATTCCCCCTGTAATATCTTTATTACAGTAACCCGGCTCCTGAGTGTCTTATTCCCCTTGTAATATCTTATTACAGTAACCCGGCTCCCGAGAGTGTCTTATTCCCCCTGTAATATCTTATTACAGTAACCCGACTCCCGAGTGTCTTATTCCCCCTGTAATATCTTATTACAATAACCCGACTCCTGAGTGTCTTATTACCCTGTAATATCTTATTACGGTAACCCAGCTCCCGAGTGTCTTATTACCCCTGTAATATCTTATTACAGTAACCCGGCTCCCGAGTGTCTTATTACCCTGTAATATCTTATTACAGTAACCCGGCTCCCGAGTGTCTTATTCCCCCTGTAATATCTTATTACAGTAACCCGACTCCTGAGTGTCTTATTACCCCTGTAATATCTTATTACAGTAACCCGGCTCCTGAGTGTCTTATTACCCCTGTAATATCTTATTACAGTAACCCGGCTCCCGAGTGTCTTATTCCCCCTGTAATATCTTATTACGGTAAACCCGGCTCCGGAGTGTCTTATTCCCCCTGTAATCCCTATCTTATTGCGGTAACCCGGCTCCCGAGTGTCTTATTCCCCTGTAATATATATTATTACGGTAACCCGGCTCCCGAGTGTCTTATTCCCCTGTAATATCTTATTACAGTAACCCGGCTCCCGAGTGTCTTATATTCCCCCTGTAATATCTTATTACAGTAACCCCGGCTCCCGAGTGTCTTATTCCCCTGTAATATCTTATTACAGTAACCCGGCTCCCGAGTGTCTTATTTCCCCCTGTAATATCTTATTACGGTAACCCGGCTCCTGAGTGTCTTATTCCCCCTGTAATATCTTATTACGGTAACCCGGCTCCCGAGTGTCCTATTACCCCAGTAATATCTTATTACAGTAACCCGGCTCCCGAGTGTCTTATTACCCTGTAATATCTTATTACGGTAACCCGCCCCCCGAGTGTCTTATTACCCCGTAATATCTTATTACAGTAACCCGGCTCCCGAGTGTCTTATTCCCCTGTAATATCTTTATTACAGTAACCCGGCTCCCGAGTGTCTTATTCCCCTGTAATATCTTATTACAGTAACCCGGCTCCTGAGTGTCTTATTACAGTAACCCGGCTCCCGAGTGTCTTATCACCCTGTAATATCTTACAATATGACTGTAGTTGGTATGTGTGTTCTCTCTTGCTGTTTGACTCGAGTTTTGCTTTGAATTTTAGTATTTTTGGCAACAAATAAGCTGAGATTGCTTTTTTATACATAACATAATGCAGTTTTCAGCCACATTCAACAATCCTAACAGATCAGACATTCTTTTAGTTACAGAAAATCAGAAAAACAACTTTATTAGTCACATTGTAAAGTTTCTTTATACCTTTTTGGCATTTTCGATAACGCTTTGCGGAAGTTTAAGGGCCCGTGCGGTTAATTAATGATATTGTATCACATTTATTCCAAAACGAAGGACAACAAAAAATTGACAGTGAAATGGAAGAACTCTTTCACTTTTTAAGAAATAAATGATATTACCCTATTGTGACATTTTGGTGGGGTTACCAAACCTACTGTCATTGATCTTGGCATAAAGCAAGAGAAGGCAGAGGAGCTGGCAATCAGTAAACTAACTACAGAGCAATGCTGTGAATTGAAGTTGTCAGAGATGAGGGCAGGGGTGGACTGACCATTTGGAAACTTGGGCACTGCCCGAGGGCCCGGGGTCAGTAGGGGGCCCCATGAGATGCCCCTGGTACCTTTTTCATAGGCTTTTTTGAGTTTGGGCAAGGACACAGGGGCCCCATGATCCCCTATTGCCCGTGGGCCCCATGAGTTGTCAGTCCGCCCCTGGATGAGGGGCACCAGGGAAGGGAATTAACTTTAATTTTTCAGCTAACTACCCTGCGCTCCGTATCTTCGCAGTCTTTTTTATCATCTCAGATCTAACTTCTGAAAGAGATGGTGTAGCAGTCAGTAAAAAGAAGACATTCTTAGGAACCGGAGGAACATACAGGGTTAATTTCAATGCTGGCTGAGGAAACCAAAAGATTATATAAAATGTTGTATACTGTTAAGCCAGCTAAAGAAAATCTCCTTACTGCAGTTCCTGCAAAGGAAGATGGGTGACTAGACAATTATTGTGAAGCCTTTTCCTGTACCTCCAACATCAGATTTTCTAGATTTAAAGTGGTAGAAAACCCTTTTTTTAACTTTTAGCTACAGGTCAGATTATCGGCCAGTCAGACGGGCCAGAGCTCGTGAACCAGGAACCAAGATGAAGATGGAAGCCTTTGCGGCGGCCGCAGCGAGCCGCTGGGGGGCTTCATTTTAAGGTACGTTTTTTACATAATGTGCTAGTATGTGGTACATACCAGCATATTATGACATTACCTTGCAGGAGATTATTTTTTTTTACCTGTGGTTTACTACCGCTTTAAATTGCCTCAACCACCTCCTTAACTGCTTCCCCTCCAGAAATACTGCTACAGGGTGGTAGGGGTGCGCAAAATCACACACACATATATATATATATATATATATATATATATATGTGTGTGTGTGTCTGGTGTGTCCAGAGATTTATACCACAGTAGCACTCTTCAAGAAACAGGGATTCTTTAGTTTGTATTAAAAGCCTTAGAGATCATTTCAAAACTTTTCCAAATATGGTGTAATAATGAAAAAGGTCAAAATGGTGAAAAAAAAATATTTACAGAAAAAAGGTGTTACAAAGAAATAAAGAGACAATAAAGCAACAGAGAAATAAAAAGGAGTTTCAAATGAAGAATTTTTGCAATGTTCTTTGTCCAACTGATCAAGCAACAACGTTACAGTGGTTCTCTCAGGTCTGGTTAGGTGTTCCTTGGTTGATGTTAAAATGAGAGGTGTCAGAGGGTTCTGACGTTTCCTTTCTGTGGTATTTATTTATTTCAGGTACTTATATAGTGCCATTATTATTATGCAGGATTTATATATCGCCAACAGTTTGCTCAGCGCTTTACAATATAATGGGAGACAATACAGCAACAATACAGCTCAATACAAGAGGGTTAGGAGGGCCCTGCTCCTTGGAGCTTACAATCTAAGAGGGAGGGGCTAGTGGTACAAAAGGTAGTAACTGTGGGGGATGGACTGGTTGCAAAAGTAGAAGATTCCAGTATTAGCTGAGGGCAGGATAGGCTTCCCTGAAGAGATAGGTTTTCGGAGATCGCCTAAAAGTGAGCAGAGTAGGCGATAGTCTGATAAATTGGGGTAGAGAGTTCCAGAGGATAGGGGAAGCTCTCGAGAAGAGCATGGGAGGAGGAGACATAGGAGCTAGAGAGTAGGAGGTCTTGCGAGGAGTGGAGAGTACAGTTTGGGTGATATTTAGAGACAAGATCGGTGATGTAATTTGGGGCAGAATCAATTTACACAGCGCTTTACATATATATTGTACATTCACATCATTCCCTAACCCTCAAGGGGCGTACAATCTAGGGTCCCTAACTTACAATCACTCATACATACACATACTAGGGCCAATTTAGACAGGAGCCAATTCACCTACCAGCATGTCTTTGGAGTGTGGGAGGAAACTGGAGTACCCGGAGGTAACCCACGCAGGCACAAGGAGAACATGCAAACTCCAGGCAGGTAGTGCCGTGGCTGGGATACGAACCAGCGACCCTAGTGCTGCCAGGCGCAAGTGCTGACCATTTAGCCACTGTGCTGCTATGTGGTAACAAAGGGGTGTGTTGACAGAGACCATCTGACCAATCATCAGTTACCATGTTTATGACTGTTTCATGGCCCTCCCTGACACACAGTTTTATACTAATATTAAAATCTTCCACTATATATAGATTGCATTCTGGAAACTGGTAGATTATTGATCAGCAATATATTTCGTGTCCAGGGATACCAGACACAGAGTATTTTGGATAGGCCTGTCACACAGGAGGTAGGAGACTTTCTCCCCTTTCGTATGTGCTAGCTTAGTCATGTATGACCTTGATTTGTTTGGTATGATATTCCCCATTCAAATATATACTCAGTATTAATGTGTCTTGGTCCTGTTGGATTTTATGAATTGTGTGTGGATTTTGTTAAGTTGTGAATTGGGCAGAGGTCTTGGAGAGGTTGCCCCATGCCTGGTCGCTTTCTGTGTAGACATTTTATGGCAGGCTATGTGTTTCTAGTGCTTTAATTTCCTGAAGGTTTTTCATAGTTTTACGATAGGTCACTTCCAATCCCCTCTGGAAAGTGATAATCTGTAGGAGTTGATTACTAGCAGGCCCTGCCAGATCTCTGGCCTAAGTGGAGATAGCCAGTCCTTTAAAGACCCAGACCCTTGTTGACTCCTGTGAAACTTTAGGAGGAGAGAAGAGGAATCAGAACTGCTGGATCTCTGGTTTCAAAACAGAAAAGAAAATGACAAAATGTAACGGCTGAATTCTATATAACAGCATGGCTGCTGCACTTACAGCTATTCGTGTGCCCAGTACGCGCAACCATTACAACCACAAATGGCAACTTAATCACATAGGCATTGCCCACTGCTGTCTTGATCAGGAACCTTCTCCTGAGAAACATTGTGCAGGATCGCTGGAGTACACGTGAACTGGAAGAGGCTGCAAAAGGGCTACAGGAGATCAGCAGCACTGAAAAATGGAGAAAAAAAAGGGAAAACAGTATGTAGCCTCCCTGGCGGTATTCCCGAGTGTAGCTCGGGGTAAAGTTTTAGCACCACAAGCGGTAAACCCGAGCTACACTCGGGCTTACCATGTGGCGTTGCTCTGCGATCCCTCGATCACTTACCTTGTCCTGCGCTCCTGCGATGTCCCTCCTGCAGTGTCCCCTGTAATGTCCTCCCGGCCGTTGCCGGCATCTGTCTTCTGGGTTCCGTTCCCTGCGACGTCGGGACGTACGGGGACAGAACTGGCGGGAAATTTGAAAATGACAAAAAGTGACATTCACTCAATACACTAAAATCACATAGTATAACATTCCTGTATCAAACCATTTCACATACATTTTGTCCCGAGTGCTTTGTCCGGCGCCCTGCCTGCATTTTTACTTTTATTTCTGCCTGGAAACTGAGAAACGTCCATGGCGTCCAAAAAGCGTCCCTTTAGGTCAAAAGCGGTTTTAGACCGGCTAGAGAACAGCGATAGTAAATCAGAACCACTTGCAGAATTGAGTGATAATGATTCGTGGGGGAAATTTGTCATCAGACACTGAAAACGATTCTGCGACTTTGCTCAGCGATGTGCGAACTTGGCGCTATATTTCAAATTTCAGTGTTTTTGGTTTGATTATATTATTGAATTAAATTTATTATTATTTTTTACGACTATTTATTAAATTATAATTTATGATTTCGTGTTTCAAGTTTTATCCTACCCGGGATGTTTACTAGACTCTTGTTCGGACAGATTTCAGTGAGTTATTCCTAAGAATTACAGGCCTACAATATAAAACGCCAAATTTCCATGCAGAATAATGTTACCGCTTTCAGCACCAAAAATCTGAAATAATCAGACCGCCAGGGAGGTTAAATAAAAAAAAAAACAGATATTGTTTTTGATGCCATAGTGCTTTAGCAAACTAAAATATCATTTAATTTGGGTTTTCATCTTTGTGAAGATCTTCAAGCACCCTTTGCAAGCCATGTAAAGCTGCCCATAAAAGGGTTTTATTTTTTTTCGTTCAGCCAGCAAACTGAACAAATAAATATGAAAGGATTCCTCCATCTACATAAACAAGGTAGATGAAGGAATCTTTCCCACTGAGACATTTACTAAGGTTAGGTTCACATTTGCCCGCAGTCTCCAGGCTGGTTGTGGGTGCAGGAATCACACCTGTTCCTGCACCCGCAACCACCTGCATCCAAATCGTGCTGCTCTTACCAGATGTGTGGGGCTGCCATTCATTCTGAGTGGCATCTCAGCCCGCATGCACTTGCGGGTGCAGGAACCGCAAGGAAATCACATGATCAAAAAGACCATGTGGTTTCCTTGCGTGCACCTTTTTCCTGTGGGAAACGTGGGCACAGCAGCCCATTCTAAGGAATGGGCTGTCATACGTAAGCAAATGTGGGCCATGCCGCCTGCAATAGTGTAAACCGAGGCTAGAACTTGAGCGTGCAAAATGTGGTGCAGCTCCGGACAGAAACCAATCAGCTTCCAGGTTTTATTGTCAAAGCCTAAGGCTGGCCATACACTATACAATTTTCTTGAGAATTTTACTTTAGATTTACCAAAAACCATATAATAGGAGGTCAAACCTAACAACACTTTCAATTGTATCCAATCAGGCGGGCTCTTGCACTACATAGTTGAAGGTAAATCTAAAGGAAATTGGGCAGAAAGTGGACAGAAAATTGTATAGTGTATGGCCAGCCTAACTGAACAAGCTGAAATTAGAAGCTGACTGGCTACCATACACAGCTGCACCAGATTCTGAGTGCTCCAGTTTTAGTAAATCCCCCCCCCCCCCCCCATTGTATTCTAACACCAAGACTCTCTGTTGATTGATAAAAGATCAACAAAAATTTTATAGCATTCCCATTCGACTAACATCAATCTAATGATCACCTTCTATCGAACAGGGATGCCCATCCATGGATTGGAATTCAGCCGGTCCTTGTTGAGCCGGTTAAATTTGGATCCATCTATGGCTAGCTTAAAGCTCCACTCACTCTGTCAAACAATAAAAGTCAGCAGCTACAAAAACTGTAGCTGCTGACTTTTAAAAAACAGCCACTTACCTGTCCCTCGGTCCCGTGGTGTCCCCCCCACAGCTCCTTTCACTGGCCGTCCTGTATTCCAGGAGGCCGGCATCTTCAGTGTGTGACAGCTTGCGGCTTCACAGCCGGGTTCCCACTGCGCATGCGCGAGTAGCTCTGCGCTTCATGAATGGTCCTGTAGTCTTCTGGGACCTGTCGCTTGTGCCAAAAGACTACAGGGAGGGAGGGAGGGAGGGAGGACACCTTCCGCTAGGCGATTGGACTGGAAGTGGGAGCTGGTACCTGTCAAATTCGGGTATCCGCTCCCCCCCGCCGCCAAAGGTGCCAATCCTTAATGGGGAGCGGGGGAGCAGTCCTTAAAGCGGAACTTCCCCTTTTGGGTGGAGCTCCACTTTAAGCATTTGGTAGTTAAGATACAGTACTTATTTACAGGTATTTAAATAGCTGACAGCACTATAAAAGCTGTACAATCACATCAGTCCTTGCCCTCAAGAAGCTTACAATCTAAGGTCTCTATCTCGAATGACTAAATCTATGCACACACATCCTGAGGGGCAATTTGGAATGGAGACAATTAACCTACCAGCATGTCTTTGGAGTGTTGGAGGAAACAAGAGTCCCCAAAAGAAATCCATGCAAGCATAGGGAGAACATAAAAGCTCCATGCAAAGAGGGTCCTGACCAGGGGCAGACTGACAACTCATGGGGCCCCGGGCAATAGGGGATCATGAGGCCCCTGTGTCCTTGCCCAAACTCAAAAAAGCCTATGAAAAATGTACCAGGGGCATCTCATGGGGAACCCTACTGACCCCGGGCCCTCGGGCACTGCCTGAGTTTCCAAATGGTCAGTCCGCCCCTGGTCCTGACCAGAATTCGGACTAAAGACCCCAGTGCTGCAAAGTGATTGCTATCACATAAACAGGTTCATCATGCCCCATATCACTTTGAGAAACACAGGCAATTTTGCCTTTTTTTTTTTTTGGAAGAAACAAAGCTTTCACCGCTAATAACCCATCGGCCAAATCGATGAACAAATTGCAGCTGGTCCTGATTGTTCGAGGACAGACAGACTTTACATCTACCCGTGGAGGTCCATCCTTTAAAAGTTCCGAGCTTGCTTTGTAGGTTTACAGACCCTGATCCCTTAATTGATAACTCATTCAAACTCCAAATCTTCGTCAGCGCCTATTCCCACAAGAACTGAGTAACCTTGTTCTGAACTTTTGCCATATCAGCTGCTCCCTCCTCCTTCACTCCTTCCTTCCCTTACTGCATTCTGTGAAGCCAACCTACCCAACTGTTCCCCCTTCTGTCCTTAAATTCCCATCTTCTCCTGAGATGTCCCCTACCTATCTCAGAACCCCCATGCTCCCTTCTATCTTCTCTCCTCTACTGCTTTTCTTCTCTTCTCTCCTCCCTCCTTCCTGACTTTCTAGGACTCCTCTCCCCTCCCTTGCCTCCCTCTCTCTCTCTCCTCCTCCTCCTCTCCTCCTCGCCCTCCTCCCCTTTCCCTCTGTGGAGGGCTGGGATTTAATCCCTTGATGATATCAGTCTGAGGATTTCAAAAGAAAAAACTTTCCACAACAGGCTGACCATACAAGAGAGGGGACCTCAAGGGCAGCAGACAGAGGCAGAGCTGCACTGACAAGGATTAGCCTGCCGGAAACAAAAGGTGAATAGGCAACAATGTAGAACTTCGGGAACAGGCAGAAGAGTTAATGAAAGACACAAAAGCGTATAAATAGAAAACAAAATATTGGCACGATAATTCTTGTAGGAAGAGTCGAAACCCAAGTTCGCGCCACCAGGGTCAACCCAAGAAGATGATACGAGGATTTATACCAGATGTTCCAGAATTGGTCACCAACCTTCCCGGAGGGGTTTACAGAATTGATCACCAACCTTCCCGGAGGGGTTTACACGTTCTGTTCTAGGATTATCCCAGGATCTACTGGGAATTTGGCAACATAATTCCGAGGGGATCGATTTTCATTTATGGAACGTTTCAGGCAAGAGATCAACCGAGCATAATTTCTTTCGTTAAACCAGCCAAAGTTTTATTTTGCAAAGCCTTGATGTATTCCGAATTTAGAGATTAGCACCAATAAACTGGAATTCTAAAGCAATATCTTGGTGGCAGGATCATTTACAAAGAAAAACAGCAGAAAGGCTGTACTGGGATCACAAGGAGCCTATCTCACCTGGGATTACCTGAACCAGTAAAGGAGGATATTTTATACCAGAGTGGATTTAAGGAGGTCTGCTCTGGCCACCCGGGTCTCCCCGTTATCTCATTGTTGATCTGGCTGTGATCTCTTGGATTCACCTTTACAAGTTTACCTAACTTCCTAAGAGTTGGGATGGTTGTCAGGGAGCAGCAGACGCTTTATGCCTGCCCGTCGTGCCTTTATTTGTGACGTCCACATAGGCACCGACACCCCAATGTCATCGATGTCCGATGAAGAGCAGCCCCCGGCGGTAAAGCCCCCTCGAGCAATGGGCAAAGAAATTACCATGGTATTGGTTTTTCTACATTTATTTTTTGTATGTGTGGTTTAAAGAACAAGTGGGTGAATGTATATATCTACTTGAATTTCAGTGTCCTTTGTGCATTTCTTACAGATCCGTGCAGTAACTTCTGCACTGTGCTTCTGTGCAGGGGCTTCCTGTAACACAGACCAGTCATTGCTGCTCTCTCTCCTTGTGCAGGTGACAGGTCTTGTCTCCGCCCCCTCCTGTAGTTTTCTGCAGTCAGCTTGTAGTGGGTGGTGCCTACTGGGCCCCTCCCACAGCTCTGTTCTCTGCACAGGCTATGTACAGAATAGTGATGATGTTATTTCTACTTTTACAAGGTATTATCTGCTTTGCAAAGGCATTAGGCGATCTCTGAAAACTATCTCTTCAGGGAAGCCTATCCTGCCCTCAGCTAATAATGGAATCTTCTACTCCTCCTACCAGTCCCTCCCCCACAGTTACTACCTTTTGTACCACTAGCCCCTCCCTCTTAGATTGTAAGCTCCAAGGATCAGGCCCTCAAATCCCTCTTGTATTGAACTGTATTGTTGCTGTATTGTCTCCCGTTATATTGTAAAGTTGCTTAGCAAACTGTTGGCGCTATATAAATCCTGTATAATAATAATAATTTGGTATACACAAAGGGCATTTAGATCTTTTGTAGCTATAGAGGAAAATATAGCTAAATTAAAGTTTTTGTGTTTGTAGTTGAGCTTTAAAGTAGTGTGGTCCTACTCTCTAGCTCCCTTGTCTCCTCCTCCCATGCTCGTCT